CGAACGGAGGGGAAAGGAGAAGTAAACGAATACGAAAAACGTGCGCGGACACGTGTACGTCTCGATCTCTGGACAAAGACACGAGACAATGGGCCCGAAAGCGTGACGGAGAGGGTGTAGGTGAAAGCACGGCCCGAAACAGTGCTCGGGTGGTTGAGTGGATAGATAGGTGGGTGGTAGGATAAGTGGGTAGCCAAGGCAGGTAGATGGACAGGTAGACCCGGGATACTTGTGGATGGGCAGACAGGTACCCAGACGAATTGTTGAACGATAAAGACCGTTTAAGCGAGAAGGGAGATCCGTGGAAGGGGGGTGGGTGGGTGGGTGGGTGGGGTGTGGGGGTGTGGCGGGGGAGGGAGTAGGAAAAGGATAGAATGAAAGAAAGAAAAAAAAAAGTCGGTCACCGCCGCAGCCGAATTTGCCGGCGCTCGCTGTGTCGTGAGTCGTGCTGCGAGCTACGTAAAGATTGAGTGTATACTAACATACACCTTCTTGTCCTTGCCCGTCTTATATAGTGACTCATCGAGCACCGGCCCCCCAGCGACTCTAAACGGTCCCCCGGATGCCTCCCGATTGCCCCCCGGCAGTCCGTGGAAACATTGGTGGGGCAGGCGGCACAAAGAGAAGCAGAGACGAACGCGAACGAGCGGAAGGAGCCAAGAAAGACGGTGGACCGTTGAACGGGTTACGCGACGACGACGCGACGCGACGCGACGCGACTCGACGCGAAGCGACACGATGCGAAGCGACACGATTATTCGGTGGGGGTAGAGCGTGAGCCCCGAACGTTCAGGGGTGGTGGATACTTCCGGCGAGGGTGCGAGGGCGGGCTTCGCGGCTCCACGGTCTCCGTTTGGTCGGCGACCACGAGGTCTCCTATCCCGCCACGGCGGTGGGGGGATTCGGGCCCCCTGCAGGGACTCGAAACTAGGGGCCCGTGGTGGGGAGCGCTACCACCAAACTCAACGGTAAGTGTCTCTCGGTTTTACTCGCGAAGGATCCGCTCTGGGTCGACTAGCTCCCGCTTCCTCGTCTTTCTGTTCCACGCTTCGAGTCTACTTTCTTTTGGGTAAAACGGACACGTATGACAAAAATAAACCGTAACGCGATATTTGTTACGCAAGGACCGCGATGCACAGCCAGGCCCGTAAGTACTCGTACCCATTGTCCGAAGAATTTCTCGAAATCGACAGGTTTAATGTTTCCAAATAAGTGTCATTTGCGTTGTAAATATCTACATAAACTTCGCACGTGTGCGTATTTGCAACGGAGAATCTATTTGGGACCCGTCGTTTAAGTTACTCATAGAGAGTACGAGTACTTGTAGGATCAACCGAATGTTCGATGTTTATATTAAAAGCGTGGATATGAAATCGTATTTGGTAACGTAATCAAAAGACCAAATAAGTGCCTAGGCGCGAGAGATTGGGATTATTTTTTGGTTATCGCGGAAAGGAGCGTTCGAGAGGAAATTGGCTTAAATGGCGGCAGGTCGCGTAGAGTGGAGTTTGCGGGACGATTCGTCGTTCGAGTTGGAACGTAGCTCGTTTAGCGGTCCATGCTGACCCAGAGCTGGTCTCCACGAAACAGTCTCAGTTCTTCGGCGCCTGGGTCATTGACCCAGTTCGTATTCTTTCTCGATAGCCCACGTCCGGTTTTCACCACGGACACGGTACCAAAAATATCCCTTTTGGCCGTCGGGAACGGGGCATTCCCCGGAGCAACGATCTCCGATTCAGAGAATAAACCTATCGGGAGGAACGATAACACGTAAGCGGCGTATCGTGTTGTAACACGCGTCGGATCATCGAACCGAACGATAACCACCCCTACTTAATCGACCGAGTTGCACATTTAGATGGTTCATGGACCGGCGACTTATCAGCCGTTATTCGCGAGGTTCAAGGTCCCGATTTCGTTGCAACACGTTTTACTTTTCGATATTTTCTTTCCTCGTACTACTCGAACCGTAGACGAAACATCGATCAAAGATCGACTATGGCGAGATGTTTCCCTTCTCTCTAAACATCTTTTACGCGTTTAGCGCAGGGCTGATGTTTGGTTATGTTGTAGGGTAATTTTTCAGCGATGGAAATTGTATGGTACATTCAACTTTAATTAGATAATAAATTGTGTAATAGCGGTAGTTGTAATATTGATACAGAATGTTATAACAATCCTACACGATACCAACTAATACGCTCAAGCAGACGCTGCAGCAGGAAGTAGAGTGTACGATTGTTGCCACCAATTTATGCAAGATTAACAATTCTAGGTTCACATTGCCGTTAAAGGTTTTTAATTTTAGTTTTCAACAGGTAACTCTCCGTTGAGGTCAACATCGGATGCATGCACTCCACGCGATGGTCATGTTAATAGTTTTGCCTTTGACGTATACGTTATTCGTAATAGTGAAAAAGCAGTAATGATCGAGAAGAAGGTGTATTAAATATCGAGAAGAAAAAGATGTTTTTAAAATTTTCTGTGCAATTTCTTATATAGAATATGATATTATAAAATATATGATATTTAAAAAATGTGTTATTATAAAAATTGTCAAACAAGATGTTACAATTGACCACCTGCTGTACGAATGCAGAAAGTATGAGCTACCAAGAAAAAAGTACAACTTAAACCCAGAAACATGTGCAAAATATTATCAATTTACGTCAAGGACACCAAACTCTGCAATAAGTAAACAGAAACCCAATTGAATCCGTCGCTAATTACCAAGCACTTGATGAATGAATCCTAGAAAAATAAAAACTAGAATGGAAACTAGAAAAATTAATCCATATAAAAGAAAAAAGATATTGCAATGATAAACAACATGCTGAAATGTTTTACAATTGGAAAAACTACGTAGTGGAAAATGTGTCTTTAAGAATCAAATTATTTATAAAAAATGCGGTAAACGTGAATAATATGTGCAAATTTTCTCTTGAAATTAGACACTTCGATAACACGATTAATAAATTCATTTTAAATAAGACGCAATGAAACTATCTTTCATTGTTTCCTTCTTATGTTTATAGCCAAACGAAGAATGAAAATAAATACGTTTTATCACTTTGTGAAAGTTAATCAATTTGGTATCAAGTAAAATATTTTCGCGTATCACCTGAATTTGTTTGGATTTCATTACATTAGGCGAAGGAGCATTATCACATTTATAATAAAGAAGAATCACCAGAAAACTGCAAGCGATGCCAACAAGATAAAGAATAAAAGAGAAAAGAGTTACGTGATACAAAAACTGAATAATGTAAGAAGAACGTGGTGCTGGATGTTGACAACCTTTAATTAATCACACACTTTTCGTACACGAAAAAAAGCCGAAAAGAGTTATATTACATAAAAAGTGAGCACCATTACGAGAAAAATGTACAAAAAAACCACAGGCAATGTATAGAAAATCCAGGGCCCAAGCATACGGTGTTCGATGTCGAGAATCGTCGACAAAAGTTTGTTCTTAGCCTGCCGATTACGAAATTACGACGAAAGGATCGGTGCCATTTGAATTGCCACGAGTGAACGTCCCAGAAATTTAAAACACTTGGCTCGTGCTCGCGCTCGTGCTCATGCTCGTGTTCGCGCTCGTGCTCGAGGCAACAACCCCTTGGGACTTTCTTTCGTTGGTCAAAAATCCAAGTGCGCGCCGACAGAATCGACGTTTCTTGACGTTCACTTTGGAAATTACATGCTCGGCACAACGCGATAACTAATGTCCGGTTTCGCGAGTTTTCTTTCTGCGTTTTAGAGAGAGCGTAACTCGTTCGAATCAGTTTACAGGGCCGTTCGAGTATGACGCGACTCTTTGGTGATTCGCTTAGGCTCGGCAAAATTCGATTCCGCGGGGAACACTCGTATCCCGCGCGCAGTTTGTTCGCGACAATTTTTACCAACTAATTCTACGATCGACGCGACTGGTCGTTTCCCTTGGAAAGTTGATCTAGCGAGGGTCACAGCTTTAAAATTGTTCCTAAAAGCTTTTCCTTCTTGAGATCATTTTCTCGAGATGGTCGAATGTATGCCAGGAAGAGGAGATTAACCCTTTGCACTCGGATGGCTCTTCTGAAGGAACATCGTAAATTCAGGATACTTTATTTGTGATTACTAGACTGCGGATTTTTATGCATTTATAGGAAATTTGAATGTGCAAGAAACTACAAAATGCAAACAATATGTAAGAATATATAAAGATTGATAATAAAGTTCATGTTATAATATTTGCGAAATAAAATAAATAAAAATTCCTATATAGGTTCAATTTTTGAAGGCACATTCGCGAAGATTTCATTTTGCTTAAAGATCCGCAGTCTAGTGGTTACACAGGGTAAATTTGTGTAAGCGTAAAATTTGTAAAAGCGTGTGATTCCTTGAAGGTTTCTATTCAACTATCACGAAAAATCAAATGAAAATTTAGTACATGTATTAAGATATATTTAACGAATATGAGTGTGTGTTACATGGAGAAAGTATGTATGAATAGTGTACACCTAGAAAAGGCGACAAAGAGCATTTGTATAAGACATAACTGTTTCACACATTATCATTTATTAGAATAGTATAAAATTTTGATTTTTGACATTATACCCTCCTCGATGTCTAGAGATTCATATAAGCTCAAGTATCATTACTGTAGATTCCATTCGATTTAAATCCCATCGAATATGTGTGAGATATGATGAGAAGAAGGCTCCAAAATTTAGAGAGACCTCCAACTACCCTCCAATAACTGGAGTCGACATTACAACAAATATGGCACGAAGTTTCTCAAGACGCAATAAGATCCTGCATCAATATGCAGAAACGTCTTGAGGAAGTTCATCAAAGA